ATGAATGATCTCTGACACTTTCCCAACTTCTTCAGTCATAATGTATGTTTCCCAACGTTCAGTTTACTTTGCACTCTCATATTTTGGACAAAGCTGTCTGTCTGTATCTTATAGTTCAATTTGAGATTAATTGTTGTACTGATTATACCAACAAGGTAGGATAATTTTATAATTACTGTAATTTCATTACTGTAGATCACACATTTAGACACAGATGCTGATCCTGTTCTGATCCAGTTTAAACCACAACCATTTCCTTATCTTATCAACTTTATCCTCCTTTTCATTATTCCTGATGATACATCCCTCATTGCCATGTTTCCTGTCAATGGACCGGGTGATTCAGGTTGTAAAATGCAGTTCCATTATTCTAACCTCCTTGTCTCTTTAGGAATCAATTTTTGTAGATTTTTCTTTTATCTATTTTTTTCCTATCAAATCAACCAGTTTAATAGTTATTGTATTCACCTGGAATTGAAGATGGGACAGGTTGCTGATGTTCGTTGTCTTTGTCTATCTCAATACATAGGCCATTGTACATGGTTATACTTAGACACTCTTTGGGAATAGTTGGAGCACAAGCCTGAAAAATATAGAAAATAGGGTTTGTGCATTAGGCTTACCATTTTAAGGTTTTTAAAGCAACATGTTTTCAAGATGCATTAAATTGTAAAATTTCGCAGAAAATTTGTGCAAGACACCAACTCACTGTGGTGGTTTCTGTTTGAGGATTACTTGTTAATGCGAAGCCAAGGGACATGTTGACTGCAAACTCTGGAACTGTGGGAATATTCAACAATTCTTAAAGCAGACAATCAAAAGTCTTTCAGTAGAGACTCCCTCCCCCTTTTTTTTTAATTCACCCTCACGTATTAACAAATGAAGGAGATAATCATACAAAAATGCCTCAAACGATGATGAGCACACTGGCACAGTGGGCTTTTACTTGGCTAAAGTGTGTGCCTCTAAGAACATGATAACTAAAGGTCATTACAACCACATGTTCAATATACTGTGTGACTGGACAGAAACTTTGCACGGCTTTTACCATCAGACTTTCAGAACATTTTAGCAAGACTTAGGGAAATTGAATGGTTACTACCTGAAAGATCTAAAGGTTGACATCCATTAATGGTGCACTTGAATATTTGTCCTCTTCCGTCTTCAGAATACTGTGAAAGAGGGGCACTGACGAGCAGACTGAAGAAGTAAAAAAACAGCATTTTTGATGGGTGGTTGTTCAAAAGAACTAAATGGTGTCCCAATAATGCATATTCTGACTCACTCTGACTTTCTTTGCACCACCTGGTAGCCGAAACCTGCAGCAGCATTCTCCAGGGACTTCCAAGCCAGAGGCTCAATATTGAAAGAAACTGCAGTCTTTATCACTGGGGAATAAAGGAGGTAATTTCACAGCATTTATCTCATCTAACAAAAAAAAATCTGACATTCAATATGAATGCTAAAACTTTTCTGTACATGTTCCATGTCTCAGGATGAAAAGAGGGCTACCACTGCATTTTATCTATAATGCCACTAGAGAGCACTAAAGCCAAAAAGTGTCTGCAAATGTGACAGCTTCAAAATTCATCATGTGAAAAATATGTTGAATGCGTCACTTGATTTTACTAAATACATGTAAACAGATCACATAGAGAAAAAATAGCAATTTCCCCTGTATCCCTTCACAAAGTTATTTTTTGTGCAAATAAAATTGAACTTTGGCAGTTTGAAAATTTCTAAATGCATTCTTGTTTTCAATTTGATAATCATAAGCAGGAATTAAATTCATCCCTAATCAATTCTTATAGGCCTTTGATTAATTATCTAAGTTCTTTTGTTGTATCTAAGGATGTGCCCACTGTCATCGGGTATATCTGATTATGTACAACAGGATTTTGAGTTTTTACTAATTAAAATAATGCAAATAGTCTCAGATGCGAAACATTTCTGAAACTGTGTGTATCAAATATTATACATACGGCATTAAAGGGTTAAATCCAACATTTTAGTTGATAATGAATGCTGTTTTAGGAGCTCAAACTTAGAAGAAAAACGTTTGACATTTTTTTGTTAGATTAGAACAGCGCAACTTGTGTTGAAATTTGAAGGATTATCCAAGACACATGTGGCCGAAACTTATCTTACCTGCTAGTAAAAGAGTAGTTGTGATTGTCCAGTCCATCATAATATTCCCATAGAGTGTCACTGAAATAGTGATATATTCTCTAAATTTATCAACAGTCTATGAGAGGCAACTACTCCCTGCCTATGAAAATGTCAAGACAGATAGGTTGAACACACAATGCTGAAATAATTGGGGGAGAACTAAGTTTAGGTAGTCATTCAGAGGAACTGTGGTGTAGGCGGAGTCACAACAAAATATGTGCTGGATGAAGCTAGATAAATGTTAATGGTGCAAAGATGACTATTTGAATTGAAAACAAAGGGCCATTATCTCACCTCAGCATTTGTGGGCAGATTCCCCAAGTGAAATATTACCAGAAAATAATCTAAGGTAACCATAGATTTGAAATGACCCTTTAAATGAAAAATATTATCCCCTGCAACGCAGAGACTTATCATTTATCTAGATTTTTTCATGATTCATTCAGCTGTTAACGGCTTTTGCCTCTTTCTATCAGTTGATGGAGAAAGGAAGTTAGATTATGTACATAATGGAAAAATCCAAAAATGACTCAATCCAATCTCCAAGCTATCAAAAAGAAAACTTAGAATTAAAGGATTAATTGTAATGTTTGCCTGATCTGTGGGAAAAGCAATATGGTAAAGCACTAGTTTTGTGGGAGGGGGGTTCATTCATTTTTACAGAATCAAACTAGAATTACTTTCTGTCTTTTGTTGGCTGGTTTCACAGAACTTTGACTAAAAAAAGACACCACTTTTTCTGCCATAGAACATGTCTGTTCACAGACATATAACGATGCCTTCTCAGGAAGTGAACTTCATCGTAGGCGAAAACCCTGTCGCTGTTTTTTGCTGCATAGTTTCACATCATCTCAGATGTGTGCTCAGCGCCTTGTTGCACCTGACTTGAGATGTGAGTGTATGACACAGATATAAAACGAGGAACTTTGCCGTCTGCATGGTGCAGTTGCAACCTTTGCCAGACACCAGAAAGGTCAAGAAAAAGTCAGCGATCAGAGCACTGTGTTGCTGTATCTGGCTTGGATTTCTTAGGGGAGGTTTTCAATGTTGTCACATGCTCTCTAAGCCCCAGCAGAGTATGTGTGTGCACTTAGTCTATACTTAATAATGACATTTTCTTTTCTCCACATTGCCTTTAAAATAAGCTGTGTGTGATGTGATGCTCCTGTTCAACACAACAACACATTTGAAACTAATTGCAGTTGTAAAATGTAAACATTTCAGTACATCATCAAAAGCGCCTTAAATTTATGTGTCAAGTTGAAGAGGGGTGTGCTTAAAAGGTTATCAATTTTGTTTTCAGTTGAATGATAGTAAAAGTGATGGCAAAGTTAAGTTTATTCAGGATCTCAGTAACTATTTTAGATAATTTTTTTCCATTTTCCACCCATTAGCTTTACATGACATATGTAGTTCTACCTAGCTTTACTCTCTAAATACATCCCAACCTAACAATCCTACTGTGTAGCATTTTCTGCCATTCACTAAACCACTCTTTGCCCTTTCACTGGCTGCTCCCTAACATGTTACTCCAGCCCCAGCCTTGCTGAATGTCACAGGCCATCTCTGGTTGCGTCCTGTTCTTTTTATAGCTGGGCAGCTGAAATGTGAGGGGTCACAATGGGAGGATAAATACAAGGGCCAGAAGGCAGGAGGGGTGTCGCAGACGAAGGCTGGAACTTCTCCCTCCCTCTCATTTCTCAGCGCCCATCTCAACCTCAAAGGTAAAATTGACTGGAAAATCTATTTGACAGCTTTGATAATGCAATTTCACCACTTTAAGTGCACCTTTTGGTCAACTGACTGTTCTGTTCCGAGAGAGGCATGAGCTGCATGACCATTTTTTAGGTCACATTTTCCATGTAACCTCAGGATAGCTTCAATAGGTGTTTTTTTGCTAAATGAAACTAGCTTTTGACATAAATGTTTCAGCCCCAACCCCCTGAATTACTTTGACTGTGGGTTTTATGACTTGATGAAATCACCAATTCAATGTTTTTAAATGCAAATACTCATTGTTATCGGATTTCTTTGATTAGATACAGCAGCTAACTCTGTGCCTAGTATGTTTAGGGTTTTCTTATGCTGGACACTAACTTCATGGAAGCGCATCACAGGTCTCTGCAAACCCCACAAATTTCCTATGGTCAGAGTGATCAGATGCATGAGCTTGTTGAATTCTAACAGAAAGTTTAAGAGCTTGTCTATTCTTTTCAGCCCTCTACAGAATGTCATGGTTATTAAACAGTTTGATGTTTGCAGACATTCTTGTAGAAAATGAGTGTAAAGCATATTTCCATGGTGTAAATATAGTACAACCTATTGATAGTTCAGGCACAGATGAGAGATTGAGAGTGGGGTGTGAAGGAAGGGGGCAGTGAGGGGGAATGGAAAGGTCATAGATAAGATCCTAGAAAATGGAATAGGTCATGCACATGCTTGTCATGACTTCTCAAGTGTGGTCAAATACAGAGGGGGTGGGGCAGAGTGTCACTGGACACCAGAGCCTAGGCATATTGTTCAGGTGGTCTACTCAGACACATGAGGCAGTTCTGCAGTTAGGTTCACATGTTGCAATGCTTTTCAGCAATGTTATCATACAACAGACAGACAGGAAATCCGTACAGCACATCTATTCCGTGTCATACCACAAATACTCGTTCTGTTATCCTATCATCAGACGTTCTCACGCATTCATATGTAAAACCACAACCTCAAATGTTCAGAGCGGCAGTTTTGCAGACTACTTGAACTTTTTTCTCTGAAAGTCGAACCCTGTATTTGACCTAAAAGCAACTGTTGACTTGAACCTTCCCTCATGCAGAGTCAGGATGCCTCACGCTTACCCTTTCCTCACTCCTGAGCAGAAGAAGGAGCTCAGTGATATTGCTCTGAAGATTGTTGCAGCTGGCAAGGGAATCCTTGCTGCTGATGAGTCCACTGGTAAGTCAGTCATTCTGGAGTGCCGATGCCCTACAATGTAGAACTTCACTACACAAGCTTGTCCAATATTCTACAAAAAGAATACAGCTCACTAAACAAAGCTGGTGTGAGCAAAACTCAGTTTAGAATCAGTTTAAAATAAGGATGATCGTAGAAGGAGTGGTACAGTGAATATTAAGAGGACATACACTCTTCCATCCATTCATCCATTTTCTGAACCGTTCATTCCCAAATGGGGTCGTTGGGGGATTGGAGCCTATGACATACACTCTTGTGTGATTTATTTTCCCTGAGCTTTTATATTGCATTTTACTGACAAAAGGGTGATGTGAAACCACATAAATAAGCTATTCACTGTTCCTGAGCTGCTTGAAAGATCTCATTAGCAGTCCAGCATAACTCCAACATGTAACATACCTATTTTCATAAGGTCCATTTTAAGCAAGGTGGATATGCTGGAATCTAGAAAAGACAATGTGGGGGCATGTCCATAAGTCCGATTTGCGTTTTAACTGCAAATGTAGTCTAGCACCTACAGTGTGTGGGGAACAGAGAAGTGCAACACCTCAAAACGAAAACCACCAAACAACAATGCCATGCTTCCTTGGAAACAGATTGACACACTGCATGGTAACATGAAAGAATGCCCTGTGTATGGTCTGTTTCCAAAGAGGGAGTAGAACTTAATCATTATGTCTTAAACTGACAATAAATACAGAATAATGTGTGTTTTTCTTCTGAAGTATTTTGGAAGCAACCTGTTGTGGTTGACTTCCAAAAAAACACATACATTGAGGATGCCAATTATAAATGTACGCACTTTGAGGTCTCCTAGTATTCACTGGAAAGAAACATTTTTCACAGTCTCTGTACAGTTGGAGGTGCGATGCAGTGTTTTCATTAGTCTGATGTTTTCATGATATTCAGGTAGTGTGGCCAAGCGCTTTCAGAGCATCAATGCTGAGAACACTGAGGAGAACAGGAGGCTGTATCGCCAGCTCCTCTTCACTGCTGACGACCGCGCCACACCTTGTATTGGAGGCGTCATCCTCTTCCATGAGACCATGTACCAGAAGACCGATGATGGAAAACCCTTCCCACAGTACCTCAAAGAAAGAGGCATGGTGGTGGGCATCAAGGTTGATAAAGGTGTTGTTCCCCTGGCCGGAACCAACGGCGAGACAACCACCCAGGGTCAGCAAAGAAAAAAACTTTCACCCAACCTAATGAAAGCATCTGTTACGGACTTTGTTGGTTAATCTAGCATGTCATCTCCCTAACAGGTCTTGATGGACTTTATGAGCGCTGTGCCCAATACAAGAAGGATGGTGCTGACTTCGCCAAATGGCGTTGTGTTCTGAAGATCACTCCCACTACTCCCTCACGGTTGGCCATTGTTGAGAACGCCAATGTCCTGGCTCGCTATGCCAGCATCTGCCAGATGGTGAGACCCAGCCGATACATTTCGAGATCACTGTGCAATCTTTACAAATGTTCCTAGTTTAAAAGCCTTAAAAGTATACGATTTCAGTTAAGCATTGGCCTTATGACTAAGACTGGATTAGAAAAGTAATAATGTTTCAATTTAAGATAAAAACAGGTGGCTGTGACTTAAATGCAAATAAATAAAGATACATTTAGCAGACATCTCCTCCGCCACCCTGACATGATTAGTCTTGTCAGAAGCCTTTTTTGTCTCTTTCTTTTTCAGCATGGCATCGTCCCTATTGTGGAGCCCGAGATTCTCCCTGATGGTGACCATGACCTGAAGCGCTGCCAGTACGTCACTGAGAAGGTTCTGGCTGCCGTCTACAAGGCCCTGTCTGACCACCATGTGTATCTGGAGGGCACTCTGCTCAAACCCAACATGGTTACTGCTGGACACTCCTGCTCACACAAATACAGCAACCAGGAGATTGCCATGGCAACTGTTACTGCCCTGCGCCGCACCGTGCCTCCTGCAGTCCCTGGTAAGTTGTCTTTACTGTTTCTTCCGTAAACACCAAATCATTTCCTGAACGGTCTACATGATTACTAAATTCTTGAACTTCCTTGTTGCACAGGAATTACCTTCCTGTCCGGTGGTCAGAGTGAGGAGGAGGCCACAATCAACCTGAATGCCATGAACCAGTGTCCTCTTCACAGGCCCTGGGCTCTGACCTTCTCATATGGTCGTGCCCTGCAGGCCTCTGCCCTGAAAGCCTGGGGTGGTAAGAAGGAGAACGGAAAGGCATGCCAGGAAGAGTTCATCAAGAGAGCTCTGGTACGTCTGAATGTTGCTGAAAGGTTCTTATGGAAGATACATTTGAAAGTGTTCAACTGCATTACCCCATAGCATATTCAGTAATGTTGTCTTAATTTTCTTTTCTTATAGGCCAACAGTCAGGCCTGCGTGGGTAAATATGTTGTTTCTGGAGCCAGCGCTGCTGGCGGAGAATCACTGTTCGTGGCAAACCATGCTTATTAAGCGTGGACACCCTTCCCTCCCTGCAATCACCATCACTGCACCACAATGGAAAAGAGCATGTCCTCTGTGGCACTGCCTGGGAGATGCTCCAATTTGTCCACTAATAACGACAACAGCATTGATGACTATTATGAAAACCTTGGCAGAAAGTAAAAGATAAAGACAAGTAAAAACTAGGTATTTAGTGGCTGTTGAGAGATGTTCTGCCTCCATTCCCATAACTTTTATTTTGAACACCTTTTTTACAGGTGAAGATTCCCTCTTTGTTTTTACGCAAGTTATACTAGTTTCCTTGGTCTGCTTCCATCAAGTTCAGAATGTTATATACACTGGTACCATGGAATAAAGTATTTACCCAAGTAAATAGTTGCAGTTTCAATTCCCTTGTGGTGTAACTTCAGTTTTCACAGCATAAGTGAAGCTCGCATGAACAGTAGTTTTTCAGATATTTGAAGTATAAGAGACACAGCTCAGGAAATAAATACATTATTAATTAAAATAAATTAAAGAAACATAAGCAGGATTTTTTTTTAATCAAAGGACGTAAAATGACATCTAGAAGCATATATGTTATTTAAAACATGTATGTTCTTGTAGTATAGATCCAAATCTAAATTCTTCTTTTTTTATTATTCTTTTCTAATAAGCATTGACTTAAATTTACACCTACACAAAAACTTTAAAATTCATGAAAGACATTGACACAAGTACAAACATCAGATGCCTGGGGTGTTTTGGTTGAAAAACCTTCTATTTTATATTACTTTCATTCTATATTATCCCATGGTAAGTTAAAGAATCTGCTCCATATGGTATACCTCATTTATCGCACAAACACACTTTAAAAACATGTTCAGCATGTTCAAGCTTTAGCTCAGATAAGTGTGGTGAGGCATGAGGCGCAACAAATGCTGCATCCATTTTAGGTGCAGCAGCTTGACCTACTAAAAATAGCTGCCATTTTATTTAACAGGGTTGGTTTTGGTATGAGCATTACCAGAGCAGGGTCTTTTTTCGTCTTTAAAAAAGTCAACATAACACTTGACAAAATATGTGTTTCCAGGGAATTAATGATTATATGAAAAATGAACTACTAGGTGACCATTTTCACACAAAAAATTCAAACAAATTAGTATCTATCATCTAGGAGTTGACTTCTTTTAAGTTCATCAGAGAGTCACAAAGGAATAAAAGGCCCCTGATTAAGTCATGCACCCTGCAGATGGACTTGTACTGAAAGTAGAAACTTTTTATTTCTGATTAAGAAACAAAGAGTGATCCAATCCGAAGACCACTTTTTAGAGTATGATATTTATCTACAAGTGGAATAAGTTTAAGGTTTATTACATTTAAGTCTATTACAGCTTATTATATAATTTCTTTGTAATGGGCAAAAAAAAGAAATTGATCGACAGAAATTATGTGGATAATGACACCATAATAAAGTTTATTTTCACTCAGTTTTTAGAGACTGTTTCAATCCAGAGTCCACTGAAACAAGAGATACTTCACAAATACATGATGTGCCCTCTTTTCAATCTAAAGTGGTGACATTTGCAAAAACCCATCCACAATCATCACATCACCATTTTGAATATTCAATCTATGTCCAATAAGTTATCTTGTGAAATAAATGAAGTGCTACAAACCCTTTTAAAACAAGGACTGATATTAAGTGATAGTTTGATAAAGAAACGTCATCAGAAAGATGACAAACGCAAACTCAGCAGTAATCTCAGTTGAATGTCCAGAGTTTGTGTTGGTACACACAAAGCTGCCATCTGGGTCAGTGTCAGGTGAATTGAGTGTCACAAAGCTAATCTGCGCTCCAGCCACTTGATTTGTGATCCAAGTTTGAAACTGCGACACTCTGGCGTAAACCTCAGGAAAGCCAGCCAAAGCGCAAGGCACCCCAAAGCTCGTGATGCCAGCCTGGATCCACGATGAGCCTTGCCGACATTGCAAAGGTCCTCCAGAGTCCCCCTAAATGTTAAGACAAGGTTAATTAACAGCATGTCCCATGCAGGGAGGAACAACGGAATTCTTTCACATGAGGCAGCACGTCTGCAGATGCGATATTGAATTGTTAGTACTCGACCTGACATGTTCCTTTGTTTTCTTGTCCCGCACAAATCATGCCGTTTGTGATGGTTACTTTTAAAACTGGGCTGTAATTGCAGCTGCACTGCCTGTTTCCAACGACGGGAATCTGAACCTGCTGCAGTGCCTGAGAGGCCGGCAAGGACTCTGTGGAAGAGTTGACGCAGTTTCAAAAATTCAAAAAGTATCTTTCAAACACAAATAAGTCGCGGGGATAATCACCGTTCAGTCTGAGCTTGCCCCAGCCGGTGGCCCAGCAGGAGGTGGAGCTGAAGATCTGGCTGCTGCTACTTGCCAGAAAAAACTGGTCTGATGAAGTCGTTGAACGTCACAGGGCTGTTCAGCTTCACCAAGGCAATGTCATTGCTGAATAGTGTGTCGTTGTAGTCAGGATGAACTATGACCTGGGAGACGCCTCGTAAAATCTCATTGGTATTAGGGCCAGCCTGAGTCTCTCGTCCCAAGTAAAGAGTCCATCCACTTAGTGAGTTTCTGCATTTAATGGAATAAGTCAAAAATCAAAATGTGTTATGTCAGCATAATTTGCTTGGTGTTGAAGTTTGTGTCATATTTGTAACTAATATGTTTACCTGTATACCTTTTTAGTCATGGATTTAGTTATTGGTAAAATATACTCTATACACTTTTTTACATATTTTCATGTTTTTTTGTATTGTACATAGCTATGTCTGCGCTGGAAAGAAGAAGCTCTCCAATCTCTTGATACATTGTCAATTCTATTTTAACTTGTTCCGCATGACTAAAGTCTGTTAGCCAAACCATGCCTTGTGATTCTGGCCATAACTGGCCAAAAACTCAATTAAAAAAACCATGCTGGAGGATGTGAACCTGGAAATTTGCAGAAAAAGCGCCTCAGATCACACCTCCTCCATTCATAATAAAACAGCGAACATCAACACCAAAGCTATTCAGCATCATTACATGGTAGAGCATAGGATGACACTGAACACGCATAGCTACAGCACGCTTGGGAAATACATGGAGAAATACTTCTTAAAAAAGATAACAGACTAGATTAGGTCACTTTTCAAGCACTGAAACCTTGCTTCTGTTGAGCCTCAATGAGAATAGTGATAGAACTTTCTCTTCAATGAATAATATGAAACCAAAAGCAGTGTTAATGAGTCACCAGTTTGAAATTTCTCTTCCTTAAATGTTTGCGACTCACAAATCAGGTGAAAGATGCTAAAACTTAAAAATAATAAAAAGGAAATTCATGTACTTTGTGTATTTTGGACTTTTGTCAGGGTGCATCACTTCCAGACTTTAATTTTAGACTTTTGTGTGTGCACAAAAAGGATCTTGAGATAGACTGCAGATGTGTTCCTTATTTGGTCAAATGAGTGGCAGTAGATATGCAGTGTTGGGCTGCGGATATGGATTAGTATTTCAGTAAAAGGAAAGTGTTCTGTTGATTTATGTAGCTCTGCATGACCTGATTTCATTTTTAATAATGTGACTGTAAGAGGCAAAGTTCTATAAGCTGCAATTTTAGGAAAAAGTTCCTGGTATTGTACTCAAAAAAATAATCCAGCAACATTGATGGTACATTGTAACAAGGATTCCATGCAGTTTTCCCAGTATTGGCTGGGCATGTTACTGGTGTGACAGTTATAGACAAGTTATAGATTCCAAGTTACACTAATTGTACTTCCACCATCTCTTGTTTGTGTTTTTGCACCAATCTTTGGACATCCATGTACATTCATTTTCTATCTCTTTTGCCAAATTTGTGTTATCTATTTATTAACCTGCTTTTACTTCTTCTCTAGTTGAAGCAGTTCATAACTTGATGTTCCTTTGAGCTCTGGCGAGTTATTGAAATGACTTTACAGCTGCTTTCAGTCATTTTAAACTCATCATCTGAGTATATTTCCTGTGTGGGTAAGGCTTGTTAATACAAACAGTCAATTGACAACTGATGAGTGTGTCTTACATCACAATGCAGTGAGCCCCGGTGAGCACCCACTGGTTACTGATGAGGGTCCCTCCACAGATGTGTCTGTTGACATGTATACTCACCTGCCACGGCCATGACCCAGCAGAGGCACTCTCCCCACCCACTATTCTTGTGTTCAGAGGAACAACTCCGCAGTCTGACAGAGCGTATACAATTGTGTGTTAGCAGATTCAATGGCCTGCTGCACCTTAGTATTTACATTATCAAAAGTTTTATAAGATATACACGTGCCTGCGCTTATTCTGAGCCTTTGCTCCTTACTAAATAAGAAATGTTAAATACTAAAAGCTATTAGTAACAGTGTAAACACAGCCACAGCGTGGCACTGATTATTCCAGGTTCTTCCTCGTTGTACATACTAGTGAGCTTTGGACTTGTGTAATATTAATGCCACTTGTCTTCTCTGATGTTAGTTTTCAGCATACTTACTATCCCTGATCTCACAAGGACATTTTTTACACAATACACTCTGGTATGGAATCATTAAGTTTCATCAGAAACCGGTACAACACAGTAAAGTGAAACTAAAACTGAGTTTAGACTGGATTTAGTGTTTGGTACTGAAGTGTGCCGACATAAGCCATGTAAATATAATTGTCATAAACCCACCTTGTCCAGTAACAACAGTGACGACCAAAAGTATCCAAATAGTCCTTTGCACCATTCTGTTGTCTCACTATCCTGCCTTCAATAAGAGAAGTATTTTTTCACTGTATCTACAGTAACATAGTCACTTATTAGCAACATTAACCACTCCCTCCTCAAACCTGTTTTTCACCAAGCCACCATTCTGGTCATGTAAAAAAAAACATAGCCAACTGTGCGTTACATCCCAACAATCATTGAATGTTTAGCTTCACAATGTGTCAGGTGTTTTTTTTGTAGAATCAGGTAACAGCCAGGTAGTGGCTAAAGGTGACCTCCTCTATGAGAGATTTGTTCAAAAGAATGAACTTTTACTTGTATTTACATTTCTTTATTGTGATTTACTTCGATATCTGTTCAAACTTCTTAAGCTTTTGAGAATGTTCAAGCATGTAACAAATATATTCCTGTAATTTTTTAACCATAAAAGATTTTGCCTATGTCATGATTACACACATTGAAATTAAAAATAAACAATGTGACATCTGCACAATAGCTGAGTAATTGAATTCTTTCAGTCACCTGATGTGAGTGCCAAAAAACTAAAATGCCCTCTTCTTAAATGACTCCTCAGAGGTTCAGGCAATCCTTCAATCTTATGAAAGCAATCAGTGTCTGACAAAGTGAGAAGAGAAAACAAGATGTATTGCGAGAAAACAAGAGCACAAGCACCATAAGTAAATTAAAACATTGACCCATAAATCAACTTTTTTAAAAGGCTTTGAAGCCTGTGTTTTCTTTCTATTAGAAAGGACAATACTTGAGCTCAGTGACACAGTGTGATCTCTGTTAACCCTTATTGGTCAGGGCCATTTATTGTGCAAAGTTAAACAATTTAATCAGCTAATTAAGTTCAAAAATTGAAAATGGAAAAAAACAGGCAGTTTCAATAATGAAATGTATAAACTTACAATTCCACACTGCTAAATATGCTTAACTGCTTAATATATAAGTTTCTCATCATGGAAGAAGCAAACTGAAGAGATAGAGGCAAACAGAACCTCCTTTTCTTTCCAAAGTGCAACAGCACGGTAACTTTGACCCCCATGGAAGAGTTGTGGTCTCGCCTCAGTGTTTGCCCACATAAGCTCAGTGGGATTACTCTCTCCGTTTGTTCATGGCAACACTGCACCAATGTAAAGTAGCCCCTAAAAACCTTGGCCAGAGGCCGGTCTGAATTTTAAGTGGCCAATTTCCCCTCTTCTGTGTCCCTACACATCACTTTTCTTTTCCTCCCTTTTCCTCTCACTCTGCAACACTTTGGGGCTCATTTAAGAGAATATATACATATCAAGGGCCTCTTTTTCACTCCTGTGAGGTCCATGAACAATATTTTTTACCTCCCAACCACCAGGACAAACCCGCCCACTGTCACCACCTAGCTGTATATAAGACGGCGAAGAAAGGACTTGGTGATAAGAACCTGGTGTCAAGACAAGCCTTGCCATGCAGTGTAAAGTCCTCATCTGTGTTGTGCTCCTGACTCTCATAAAGCATGGTGAGTACGTTGTTGTATCGTTGCTCTCACAGGCTGGTTACAAAGGCTGCATTGGTATTTCTCTACCTAATCACCAGGTTTGAGCGGATCGGCTGGAACTAGACACATGCAAGCATTGTAGAAGGATAAATGGCAGTTAACATTCCCACACAGATAGTTATTTTTTGTACACTTTGTAGTGGATTTGTATAATGCACCTGAGCTGATAGGTCAGGCCAGCACAATGTTAAGCAAGGTGAGATATGAAATCCTATTAACTATACTAACAATAGGTCAGAAATTGCGAGTACATTGTGAGTAATGTTGTAAGTTTGTAGTAGTTGCTTAATGCTGATATTGGATTAGTGGGTTAATCTGTGTAATCAAGAGCTAGGAGCTGACAGGGGGTGAAAACTACACATTATTTTATCATTTATTTGTTATCACTATCTCGATAGATAGATAGAGAGATTGATAGATAGATAGATAGATAGATAGATAGATAGATAGATAGATAGAT